TGCCATATCTAATACGGTGAAGTTTTGATGTCTCCGAAGACCAACTTGTTTCACTAAACTAGCGTCTCAGTTGAATGGAAGAAAGAGAGAATAAAAAAATTTTTGTCGGAAATCCTCGAGAATGACCGAACTCCAGATAAATATAAAATTATGGAAAAAATACAATCCAATAGAACAGTTGACTGAACATGATAACATTGAGCAGAAACAATACTTTTCATACGAAATTTCTAGAGTCGCTGATACATCACAGGGCCTATTTATCGGATCATTCGATGAATTCGCTGCCTACTGGCGACTTATTCCATTTTATTACTTTGACGAGTTTCTCCTCCATTTTCCTGGTTTTTTTTTGGGCATTAGATCCCCACCCTTTCCCGTGGTGTCCCGCTGAGGCTCAGGATATCCAAGGATTTGTGCCTCCATTAAAGGCACTCCATGCTGTCGAAAGCGCTCAGTTGAGGTGCGATACTGCAGATCGCAGTACTGCTGGAAGACGAAGCCAGTTCGGTGCAGGTGCCACACGTGTGAATACACAACATCTAGAATGTGACCATACACGCCCGCATTCACGACTTCCCAAAACACTATGAGGTTATTCGACTGCGTAGTGGTGAGGAATGAAATGGTTCTACGCACACCTAAAGTGGAGATTCACGCAGGACTCCAACGTCATCTGGAGCGACGAAAGTAAATATACAGCACATGTTTGACTGCGACAGCACATTGCATGCGTAGCGCCCTGACAGTTTAGATTCAAAGCATTAACAAACTCCACCCACTTCGGTGTATGCTCCGCCCTCCAAAAACCTTTGAACTTCTTTCTTCCGCCCAGCTCTATCCGACTTCTCCCGAACCCGAATTATGAGGACTTGTAGAAAATGCTGTACACTTCAGAGCGCGCTCCCGCCCATTGTGGGCGGGCCTCCGCCCACGTCATGTATGCTGGAAACACCTTAGACATTGCTCCCTTACACCAATTGTTTTCTGCTCTGTAGGCTTTCTCCCAACCGAGTTATGAAATTTTTCATAAGCACTGCTTTTTTTTAACCTTTCATAGAACGCTCCGCTAACCGGGTGAGACTCCCTATGTGACTTATCAGTTCACAGCTCCCATTTTCTCCCCAGTGTCTAGCCTTTTGAATCAAATTTGAAATTGTGGTCGTCAGCGCCGCTCATTTCGATGGACACGGCACGCTCACGAGGCTCCGTAGCTTACGTATGTTTTGTAGTTCTCAAGATGTGGCCACCCATCCCACACCTTGACCCGGTCTCTCCAGCGGATCTCATGGAGCGATGCGCTTACGGCACAATTTTGCAGCAATCCACAGTTCTCGATTAACCAGTAACCGAAAACGACTTGTAGAAATATTTTCATACGAGCTCGGCGGCCGTCGACCTCAAAGTCGGTATTAGTGAGATTACAAAGTCCGGTGAGTGACCGCAACCGTAACACGTGACTGGTTGGCGCGCAACGTCACGTGTCATCGATTAGAATTCGACGTGCCCTTTTGTCGTTTTTCCGCGCACTCTACGGCGGCAGAATCCTCTCACGTTGGTGCTGAAACGTGTGGGTACACAGCAGTAGTGTAGCTGCGCGCTCCAGTGCCAACGTGGATTACGGTAGCGGTCACTCACCGGACTGTTAAATCCGGCTTGTGTCGGTTTATGGGAGTGTAGGTGAAAAGAAGTGAAAAATGAGACTACGGTAGTCTCCTAGATTATGTGGTTGTACGTGAATGTTTGAAAACGGCAGAACAGATGGGATGGACCCGCAAAAATCTTACAGAAGACCAAACCTTGATGCCGTAGGCGGGAAGTTCGTGCGAATATGCCGCTGTTACCACGACGTCTCCTTCGATCTTTGAGTAAGCAATCTAAAAATGCACTTGTACGACTAAAGTGGAGATAATTATTTTCCAGAAATTCTATTTTTCTACCTCTAGGAATTCAAGCCCTAATCACGAGTACAACGTTTTAACACAAAACTCGCGATTATTTCGTTGAGATGTGGAGAAGAGGCGCCAAAGGTACTATTTCACTACCACTGCCCCAAAATCTCAAAATTTTCTTTTTCGTCAAAACATTGCCTGTAGGCGTAATTCGATTCCCTGATTGCAAATATGCTATAAGTTTTTGACGCTGGCGTCACTGTTTCATTAAAATAAGCTCGATGTAAGCATGTGTACAGGGCTTATTTGGCGTTCTGATTACGAAAATGAGATTTTTCGGAAATTGGCTCTGTATGACGCATTTTTCTGCTGTCTTGGGCAATCTCATTTGTAGTGCCAGCTTCGCCTGTGCACTGCGCTGTGCACCAGGCTCAGCTTTCTCTTTCATATAAATCAGTGCTTATCGCGAACTTTGTCATTAACCCTAGCGATCGACAATTGGTTGAAAATTCCTCTCACTTAAATAATTCGTTGACTTACGCTGATTTCAGCCTGCCACTATTCGTCTTTTATCCAGCGTGTAACATATTTTAGGGTAACTACTTTAGCAAAGCCCTTACAGTTTTCTTACAGAATCAATTCACCCATCTATAACAATAAGTTTCGCAAATCTCATAACCTTTACTACAATTGGAACGCCTTCATTTTTAAATGGCGCATCTACTTGACATTACTTCTGTTAGCGTTTGAATCCCTAGGTTATGTTAACCCTCCTAGCCTCGGTTTACTGTCCGTGACT